GGTCAAATTAAATTGCGAAGTTATTGTAAATCGATTCCTCTGTAAAAAGATGAGATTCGAGTAACATTAATCAGAGATCAATTATAAGTCAATATGTTTTAATGTACGAGTATATTGTATCAAATTACAGAAAATAAGAAGGAAATGGCCAAGTGGAAGAGAATCCATAAATATTGACCTGATTCCGTGAAGCATATAATGCCCCATAATGCATCTTTTTTTGTTCTTTTTTTATAATTTTATAATTTTATCCTTTTTCTTTAACATTCGATGAATAACAATGATATATTATACATTTTACGAAACACAGCTATTGATGTTTATACGATATCTGCGATATTTGCAATCCGTTCGATACTATTATAGGAATCTCTGTTTTCTGTTTAAAGAATTATTAAGAAAATTGATATTAATTGATTACTGGCTTACGAAGCAGCCAAGTTCGTGACCCCGAGTATCTTTGAATAAATTTTGTTACTTATAAGACAGGCGTGATTGATCCATTGCTATTTGATGCAGTAAGAAAGTTTGTTATTATGAAACTTCGACAGAATATATTATTTATGAAGAGTTCACCACTGTTGTTTTGTTCTTTGACTTTCTTAACGTGCTAAAGAAGTTAAATCGGATATAATAATAAATAAACAGTAAAAACAAAAACCTTTGGAAAATTAAAAACACCTTTCAATCATTAGCGTTGCTAACGGAATAATCTATCCATGAAGGAAGAAACAATGTCTTTAAAAATTATTTATTGGATAATTCTGGAAAAATAAAGTAATATATATTCTTGCCTGAACAAAGATAATTTTAGACATGATACAGATAAGCTTTTTTGTAACTTTTGATTAAGAAAATCATATACTACAGATTTTACGGTAAAACCAATCAGCGTACAAAATAAATCTAATTTACAAAATTATAATTGAATGTAATGTTTAATTAATTTAACTTTTACATCTCTGGGTAAACATTTTTTAATTAATAATTCAATGTGTATTTCATCGTACATTTTTTTAACGTTCAAGTATTATAGATAGGTGATCACAGAGTACCTCGCTTACAATATTTTTAATAACTTTATTCTAGAAGAGAAAATAAAAAGTATACTTATTACCCGGAAGTTTTAAAGTTAGCTTTATATTCCTCTATCTTATAAGAGGTACTTAGATAATATAAATTTAATCCCATGCATCCTTTTAAAAATGTACTATAAAATTAATTTAAGACGTTCTGAACATCCCACTGCTCTACTTCATCAATGATTACTTCACTACAACTTGTTCACTCCTTTGATCACGTTCAATGTATTCAGTTTCTCAATTACAACGTGGATAACATAGAAAGTAGCAAAATAACAGATATCTCTTGCTTTGTAGCTACCGTGGGACATGATCCGCAGACGAGCAACGGCGGTCAGCCGCAACTGCAGCAACAGCAACTACAATTGGGGGGTTGGCTGGGAGGAAGTGCTGGCGACACTGGCGGTGGATTGGTCTGCCGATCTGGTAAATCGGTCAACGGCAGCAGCAACTGCAAACCGTCGTTACACCATCCTCAACAACAGCGTCAACAGCAACAGCAGCAGCAGCAACAACAACAAGGCCAATCTGGGGGTGTGGGGGATGACGAAGACGGGGGTGGAGGGAGCGGAGGGCTGGAGGGGACGGACGCAGAGGCGAACGACGCTGTTCACCTCAAGAGACGGGTGGGACTCGTCAGTGGGGTGGCTCTAATCGTCGGCACGATGATCGGCTCCGGGATCTTCGTGTCGCCGTCGGGTCTGCTGTTGCGTACCGGCAGCGTCGGCATCAGTTTTGTCGTGTGGACCGCGTGCGGTCTGCTGAGCCTCTGCGGCGCTCTCGCCTATGCCGAGCTGGGCACCATGAACACGAGCAGCGGCGCCGAGTACGCGTACTTTATGGACGCGTTCGGCGCCCCGCCTGCCTTTCTCTTCTCCTGGGTGTCCACCCTGGTGCTCAAGCCGTCGCAGATGGCGATTATCTGTCTGTCGTTCGCCCAGTACACCGTCGAGGCGTTCACCGTCGACTGCGAGCCGCCCGACCAAGTAGTTAAGATCGTCGCTCTGCTGGCGATCGTTCTGATTCTCCTGATCAACTGCTATAGCGTCAACCTGGCCACCGGTGTACAGAACGCTTTTACCGCCGCCAAACTGATGGCCATACTCGTGGTAATAATCGGTGGCTCGTACAAACTGATACAGGGTAACACTCAGCATCTGCAAACGGCGTTTGACACCATCGATGGCAGTACCATCAACATTGGTCGCCTCGCAACTGCTTTCTACACCGGCCTCTGGGCATACGACGGCTGGAACAATCTCAATTATGTAACCGAGGAAATCAAAAACCCTTCCAAGAATCTGCCCAGGTCCATCATGATCGGCATACCGCTCGTCACGCTCTGCTACGCGCTTATCAATGTATCCTATCTAGCGGTCATGTCACCGTCAGAAATGATTGAGAGCGAGGCCGTGGCGGTGGTAAATATGGTCAATGAAAATTTATTTAGAGAACATTACTCTTCTCCTCTCAGGAAAAGATCCTTTTTGAAAGAAGTAACGCACGAAATGGTAGAATCGATCCCACCAAACATCAACTAACAATGACGTGACTGTTAGATATAACATGTATTGTATTAGTTATATACTTACTGTTGAATATGAAATTATAACTAACAGTTACTGTTGATTGGTGTTTGCTAAAAATATGAATTTCCTCGTTATCGCTTTGCGAGTGGAGTTATCGGAGAGAGAGAGAGAGAGAGATTTTGCTTCAATCAATTTTGGGTGCATTTCGGGAAGACTGTTAGCCTTGCTATTAGCGCTATTTGTGTCATTCTATCTTAATCGTTTACTAGATGTAAAACAAGGATAGATGATACAAATATAGCGCTGACTGCGCGCTCCTCGAATGCAGCCTTTGTTTCTATATTCTGATGATGGACCAAGATATTTTTCCGCAGACGTTCGGCAATCGGATTCTGGGCGTGATGGCGTGGTTAATGCCGCTCTCTGTAGCGATCAGCACCTTCGGATCCGCTAATGGCACTCTATTTGCTGCGGGTAGGCTCTGCTTCGCCGCGTCGCGAGAGGGTCATCTGCTCGACTGCTTAAGCTACGTGCACGTGCGACGTTTTACTCCTGCCCCAGGCCTCATCTTCCATTCCCTCGTAGCAGGTATTAAAACGGATTTGGATTAGACGAACGAATGTGAACACAGCCGGGGCAACTTGCTTCGATGAGCACTATCTTCCGCACTCGCCAAAATCGACTCGCTCGTTTAATTTATTCGCGTCTGTTCGTATATGTCTGCGATCATTCGCTTGACTTTATTTAATCGCCTTAAATTAAAAAAATTATTTTTTAATATTTTTTCGATATAAATTTTCAGCTCGTCTTTTAAATATCTTTCAGGAATAGAATTGTATCTAAATTTTCTTGCATCGTACACGTGTCCTCCCGACTTATTTGAGATTTTGTTTTATATAACGTACATATGTTGTTCTACTTTCAAGGCGAGACCATTGCTATATGGACTGTATCGACTTCAAGGTGTCTAAATGTGTTGTAAGCCAAAATACTAATTTCGCAGGCGCGATGGTTCTCTCCGGTAACATCGATTCGCTGATTGACTTCTTTTCGTTTACCGCATGGATATTCTACGGCGGCTCGATGGTTGCCCTACTGGTAATGCGGAGGACCAGGCCCAATCATCCGCGACCGTACAAATGCCCACTAGTGATACCTGTGCTCGTGCTCGTCATCTCCGCGTATCTCATAGTGGCGCCGATTATTGATAAGCCCCAGATCGAGTACCTGTACGCGGCTGGCTTTATCGGTGCGGGCATGCTCGTCTACCTCCCGTTCGTAAAATTTGGATATGTGCCCAAATTCATGGGTGGGTATAAACATCGTTACACTGAAAATAAAGACTTGTCAACGAATGATTAAAATATAAATTTTATACAGTACTTTGTATCAATTTTTATTTATTTTAATATAAAATATTTAAGCTTTTTTTCCCTGAAAAAGAAATCTAATTTACTGATAAAATATCTTACTGATAAAAAAAAAGCAGCAAGTAAGACCCCAAAATCTTTATTAAAGATCTGAAATTTAAATTAAATTAATCTAGTTGAGTTTCAAGAAATGTTAAGCTCTAAAATATTATTAAGCTTATAGAAAGAAACACACACATATAGTAAAAGTAAAATTAAAATTCAGAATCCTTTAAAAATTTAAAATAAAAATTTACCAAATCTTAAATTAAAAGTCTTATTGAAATTTCTTCTCCCTATTTTTATATTTCTATTAAATTTCTATTTGACTTTAAATTTTATATTGTGTGCTTTTATTTGTTTTCTGATTATAGAGGGTGTCAATGCCTTCCTGCAGATGTTACTAGAGGTGGCTCCAACGGCGGCTGCCTTCGACTGATTTCATTTCGAGAGATCAACATACAGTTTTTCAGAATGCTGAATCATTCCATTATGGCATTGCATGAACTGTATGAATACCTGAATATATCCTATTTTAAATACATGCAGACGAGAGCATTATATCCTATATATTACAAAGCTCAAGGCTGGCCCAAAAAATTAATATAAAAAAATCATATAAAAATGGCATATATATATTATATAAAAATATATTATTTTATTACTTGTTATTCTTCATATATAGTATACAATATGCAGAAGAGATATTATTGTTAGACAATAGATAGTTGATGTTGTAATGAAAAAGCGATGAATCAACAGAAATATTTTAAATGTTTGCAGTTACAAATTTGTCTCTTTTTTTCAAACATTCTTGTCCTTTTCCTGAACTACCACACAAAAATTGTATATTATTTATTTGTAAATTTTTTTATTAATTAGTTCTTTTAAAAATTAATTTGTGTACAATCTAATTAAAACATATCTAGTTGACAAAATTATTAATTATAAATATAGTTTTTATTCCTAACAGTCCTTTTTATAAGATGTTATTTACAAGATGATATTTAAAACATATTTCCATTTTACTCTACCAATTTCTTGTAGAGTTTTATAAAGTTTTATGTTTCAGAAACTCTTTTTTTACTTTTTGATGTCTTCTTGTTCTGCAAGATATTTTTCGGTACTTTCCCATAAACTTGTAAAATGCTGCTATCCTTCTTCCGCGTTTTCTTGGACTTGGGTTTGAGCTGACTACTGGCGAATCGAGACTTAGACTTATGTCCTTCCTCCTTCTTCTTCTCTTTCTCTATTTTTTGACGCGTCTTTAACGCGTTGTAATTCATCCTTCTGTTCTTGGGAGGTATTGCACCTAAGCTAATAGCGAGCTCAACCTTTGCTTTCCTCGCTTTCGGTTTTTCGAAACCAGACATACCAAATTTGATAATCTCATATCGCAACTTCTTCATCTCTTTTTCTTGCTGCTGCTTTAATTCAGCAGGCGTTTGTTTCGTAGATTCCTTAAGTTTATCTTTATTATCTAAGTCATCTGTAGATTTCACCTTTTTCTTTGGCGCTGTATAATGTACACATATGTAATCACTCGTCGCAATTTTCTTGACTTGGGAACTACGTGTTGGTACAAAGTCTTCCATCTCGTACTGAAAAATATTAATATTGAAAGAAAAAATGCTTTATTTGTTTTCTGGTCTAACCTCTATCAACAACATGGAAAAATAATTTTCATAGTCCCTAAGATAATGTAAAATAAATAAACGTTAAAAATAAAAATACATGTATTTGACGATCAATAATTATGACGGCCAACAATTTAACTTACGTAAATCTCTATTCACAATCAATTATAACACGTTAGTGCGAACATACTTGGCAATCTTGGCATACAAATTACAAGTTTGTTCTAAAAGCAGTTTGTGTTTTGCCGCGTTCACATAGATTAAGGTACATTTTCATGAGCCGCTCAACCTGCCATTTCAATGACAAAAAAGTATATTAAAAAAATCATATCATAAAAATAAAAAGGTCAAGCCATGTTAAAAAAAAGATCCTCAAAAATTTAAACCTTTCTATCTAATAATAATATATTATCATGAAAAGTAACTGATATATTATTAATTAAAAGTACCAATTCAAAGTGAATATACATAAAGTGTATGCAACTTTCGGCCGATTTTCGAATTGCCTCCGCCTTCCACAGTCCAAATGCCGCATAACCGTCGAGTCAGATTTGTTCTTTATAGCTAAGTCTTTTGCGCTTTTAATTTTTCATTTTGAGCACAATTCATTGAATCCACAAGTATAGAAACAATTAATACGAATTCAGTGTGCATTATATTAAATTAGTATATGCTACAAATTGCTATACATGAAATTTTTACAAAGTATACGTAAAAATAAAATATTTATAAAATATAAAAATAAGATATATATATATATATATATATTGGAGATTAGTTATTTATAAATCCTATTTTAATTATTTATAATTTTTATGTTTTATTTAAAGTTAAAATTCTTTAATCACTTTTTTATCAAAAAAACATAAATCATTTGTAATTTATGAAATTTTATTTTTTATAAATTAAATAAACATTCTTTCCGTGTGTGTATATATTGTAACTCCATCCAATTATTTTATTACAGCACAGTAATTGTAAAGCATAAATAAGTATACTGAAAAATTTTATTTTTTTGAAGAAAATTTTGGCGTGCATAGAAAAGATTCATGTAAAACTTTATGAAGTTTTTGAGCTTTATGTAGACCAAATCCAGGACACAAGGTTAAAGTACTAGGTTGTGCTCTTATAATGTTATCTAGTGTACCAAAAGTTGTTAGAAGAGTTGTTGCATCGGTTTTGTTGACAGATCTTACTGTTGTTAAGGCATTAACCAACTGTAACAAATATTTATTACATAAATATTTCTTTCGTGTATGTATATATTTAAAAATATATATATATATATTTATAGAAAAATATACATATTATATAATAATTACTTTTTGATAAGGTGCTGTTTCGCTGCGTTCCATAATATTATCAGGGGGTTTGTTTTCATATATCTTGTAAGTTTCAATAATTTTTCCTGCATCCTCTGCATTCCACGCTAGCATTATTGTCAAGTCTGCCAAAATGGAAATCCTTGTTAGATGTTTCAAAGCATGATGAGGCTCGGCGACATCAATCTGATTGAATAAAAAGTTCAAATATAGATACAAAAAACTACAAAATTTCTAATTTACACAAAACTTAAGAAATTAAAAATTATGAATGTATATAATAGGAATAAATAATATAATTATGCCTAATCACAATTAATATTGTATAAAGAATTAATAGTCATTAAATTATTATACAATAAAATTATACAGTAAAATTATTATACAATAAAATTATACAGTATAAATTATTAATAGTCAATTACATATTTTATAAAACAAATATATAAATTGTAGTTATGTACCTGTACTAAAAGCACTCGTAAGTTATAAGCATTACTCAATAACTTAAGTCTTTCATGAATATAATCAGGATTCAGTTGATGATAACGAATTGATAAGAAAAGAGCACATGTAGTTTTTCCCATTACATAATCTGGCACAATGTCAGAATATTCCCACGGTACATTCGTTATAAACTTCAGTAATGGATTGCCTTTCTGGGGAAAAGAAATATTATAAATTTAAAAAATTTTAATTAAATTTTAATATAATGTTTTAAAGATAGACAAACTTACTTTCTATAAAAACATATTATGTATTAACTTTAATTAGTACAATTTACAAAATATATTTACTCTTAAAACATTATAATATTTTATAAATAAAACAACAGTATTACTTGCTTTGGACTGACAAGGACAGTGTTAATTCTACTTGAAGATATTGCTACAGAAGTTTCAGACTTAGAAGCTGGCAAATCTGAGAAAAACTCAGATTTCTTCAAGTTACTAAAAGCACCTGGAAAAAAAGAAATCCAAATTATACACAAATCAAATTTTTAATTGTATTATAGGTAAGCAATATTCTAGAGAATTAAAACTATTGAAAATATATTTCATAAATTAATTATACATTTTACTTATAGAATGCCAGTAAGGATACAACAGAGTGTATAGATATAGATTATAGATTAACTATAAAAACCAAACAGAATTTTTATTTTTGTATATTTTATATATTATCATTCAATAACCATTTACATATTTTATTACAAAATTAAATATAGATTTTACTTAATTTCTCTACTAGTAATTTGCTATTAGATTATAACAAACTCTACTGGGTGAACATATGAGGTTAACACAAATGCAAATTAATACAATCTACATGAAAACTTGATTCAAATATGTTTATGAACTGCCACACTACCAGCAATTTTCTAATATTTTATAATAATATTTTCTAATATTTTTTAATAGTATTATAACGGAACTTACTCTGAAAAGACGTATTTTTAGCTTGTTTTGTCGGACATGCATCATCCAAATCTTCTGCATTTTCTGTCGTATTATTCATAATTTCTCTCTTTCATTACAAAGTATTTAGTAAATATTAGAAAAAAAAACCAGCTCCTTAAATTTCAACAAAAACACTCAATCTCACCTTAGTTGACATCATAGAAGACTTATAAGATAGACGGAGCGTTCATACGTGAGAAGTTGAAGACAACAAGGACAGCTCTACTCCAGATATAGTCACAGTAGAGACCCTCTAACAGAGGGTGCTTTCCAGCAAGGACAGAATCAGACACTGTGTAACACAGAGAATCATTTCATTCTCGTTTAACGTAGGCAAACAACAGGGATGCAATGATTCACTGTGTTACACAGTGTCTACTTGTGTCGTAGCTGGAAAGCAGCCAGAGACTGGCCATCAGGGTGCCACTTTTGATTGGTCCGCCATTTCCTAGCGATTCCCGCTCGTATTCAAATTAAATTTCAATTACTGCATTTACTTGGAATGTAAATAGTATGTAATGATAAATATTATAGAAATATTGAAACCGTGCTTTTTACATCAATATAAATAATATACGTCAAATAAAAAAAAACATGTCAAGTTTTATCGTCAGTTATATACATCTTTATCTTTAAATAACTTTGTTATAATAGCTGTTTTTTAACATTTATGATTTAATTTTTGACTTTGTTATTAAATTTTAAACATTGACTCTTATATTGTCTTCGTTCTTTTTGTTTATACGTTAAATAATTTCTATATTTAATATTCTCTTTCTTAATTCTATTAAATCTTTTTCAAATAAAATTAAAGTAAGGTTAGGAAATCAGTGATAAAAGTAAAAACACTTAACATTTGTAAAATTTATTTAAAAAAGGTATGTACTGCCAATGATTTACTATCATATCTTCTATTAATATTAGTATTTTTCTTACTTAATGTTCTTAATTTGAATACGACAAACTTTCTAATAATTTTAGGAAACAATTGATAATTTAAAACATGTTTAGTCGTAACCTGACTGAAGACAGATATTAAATAATTTTTCCAGAATTGTGCAGTGCAACCACCCATTTTTATTGTTATTATTTTATACTGAACAAAAACCACGAAAACAACTTTGAATCAACTCAGATCAACTTAAATAAACGAACACATACGAACGCACATATTCGTGTGAGTGAAATGGTCTATATTTCTCTCTCACTTGTAGGATTTCGCTAGGAAATGGCGGACTCGCCTGATGGCCAGTCTCTGTTAAAGGGTCTCTAAGGGTGCGGTCGAGTTGCCACTACGAATGCTTTGAAGGGTTTCTTGATTGGTCAATTTGTAAAATTCTTTCTTTTCATTGGTCAATCAAACGCTTCAAAGCATTCATAGTGGCAACTCGACCGCACCCTAAGTCACAGTATAAATATTAGAGAGCCTATAATCAGAGTGGCGACATAAGGAAGATTACGCCATGTTTTAGCGAAATTCTGCGAGAGAGAAAGAGATATAGGTTGCGTTCCGTTTCACACATATGCGCGCATTTTATATAGGGAGCGTCACGTATACTATAGGGGAATAGCTAAAACATGGCGGACCAATCACAAGTGATACCCGTATGGCGACACTCTGATTATAGGCTCTCTATATAAATATAGTTATGTTTCTCTCTTTCACAGTGAGCGGTGGGGAACCAATCAGCTCGAGCGTATTGCGTAATGTCACAACTTTTGGTTCGTGTGTTGAGAGGTTATGGCCCGTATTCAGAACGCGCTAACAACGATGTTAGCGCGCTAACATGCTATAGTTTATGTCACGTATACTATAGAATTTCAGAGATAAAAGAGCGCTTTTATCGATAAAAGTGCGTTCTGAATACGGGCCTATAAATTCGAATGTGTTTTTCAAAGATATAATATTTTTTAATTATTCGAAAATAGAAATACAGCAACAGTTTACGCTGCAGGTTAATTTTTTTAAAATATGTAAATTAAAATAGATTCTATAGAAAATTAAATGACCTACTCGGGAGGTACATAATTTTTACTGTCTTGTATGAGAAAATAAAGATTCATCATAATAATAACCATTTAATTATTATACATATAGTATACCATATATATATATATATATACACGTTTATATATATTACATACACACTTAGAAATATGTAATAAACTTTAATATAAAATTTGTATATGTATAAAATTTTTATATAAAAATAATAAGGTACACGTATAATAGAAAGTATTAAAAAGATACCTGAAATTGAACTTCCAAAGTATAGGAAGTATAGGAAAGTATAGGAAAAAAAGTATAGGGGAAGACAAAGAAAATACTATACGATATGTAATGTATATTATAATATTTTCATAGTTTATGTCTAATATTGCTATATCTAATATTACATATCTAATATTGCCATGTATCTAATATTACATATCTAATATTGCCATATCTAATATTATATATCTAATATTGCCACGAATTACGCATTTTTAGATTATTTATTGATTTTTAAATATAGCAAACCAGTATCCGAGAATGGATTGAAATGGATTCAAATTTTCAGAAATACGGATTCATGAATGTTAAAATGAATTCTTTTCAATCCGAATACGTTTTAATTCATTTTCACTTTAAAATATTGATTTAAAATTTTATCAATCAAAATAGATCGATGATTTGATAATGCTGACATTTCGATGTCTAAATTTTTAAATAAATCGTTCATAAGAAGCAATTTTTTCGTATCGTACTTAAGTTTCGTTAAAATATTTTTTGTGGTACAAATGTCATTTGTGTTTCGTAAAACTCCTTCAGCTGTTTTCCAAATTTTTATGACATCGCTGCTTAGGAATAATAATCCTCCTCTATTTTATATTTTGCATAAAACTGATGTTGATGTGTCAGTTTCCAAACTTTCACGGCAAATTTGGCAAGAAATGTTATTTCGAATGCTTCTTACTACAGCACCAGCTATGTAAGACACAACTTCTGACGTGTATTGAGAATTCAATTTAGTTTGCTCTAAAGTGTGCGCGTGTACATACAGAAAAATGTTACATACAATATGACTTGTTTTAAATAAATAATAAGTGTATTTTAAAAGGGTATTTGATAATTCTACCGATATCTACAATATTCGTGAATAAGATAGAGCGGACTCCAAACTGAGTCGAAAAGTTCTTTACCATTTTGTAATTTTCGCAATAGTTAACAAGATATAATTACTAAAATATTGGTTTTCAAGAATTTTTTAGTACCGTATTTTCTTATTCTGGTAAAAATAGTTGTTATATAATAAAAAAATGCAGTACTAAACAGTTGATAAAAAATTCTGAAAAAATTTCTAGAGCTTTATGAGAAAAAAATAAACAATTTTTGTCTTTTACTGTTTTTTTGTAAAGTTAATAGTACTTGAGTAAAAAAATTCTTGAAAACCAATATTTTAGTAAACAAAATTAAAACAAACTAAAGAACTCTTTTTTTATACAAAATAATAAACATAAAAATATTTTAGTAATTATAATATCTTAAGAAACGACTATATATATATAAATACGAACCTAATAGATAATAAAAATTGTTTATGTCCCTTCCTACACATATTTGAAATAGTTTACTATATATTTTAGTAAAAAAGCTGCTTCTCAAATATTTTGAATCAATTTTACTCTTGGGGGTCACTTTTGACTTTGCGTCCGCCGTGCATGCGAGTATCACGACGTCCCGCTGTCCGAGGGTTAAACATAAATTTATTCGATTCTTAACATTGCAAATATTTATATTTGTTGAAAACAGATACATATATATACATATAATATATACGAGTCTTCTATAAAAGAAAGAGAGATCATCTAATATAAAATACAAAATTTTGTTATTACAGGAAAATGCGCTGATCAAAAAATCTGAAAAAATTTAAAAAACACTTTGTAGATAAAGCTATGTCCAAAATTTCAAGTAATTCTTAACATATTACATTCTCTTGCCGAAGTAAAGAGAAAACCTCCTTAATTTTGCCGAAGAGCAATTTTAATTGCAAATTTGATAAAGCTCATTAAAAAGCGTATATTTTAGTGAAATACACATTTTAAATAATAAACAATTATTATTTTTAAAACATAAAATAAACAATTATTACATGCTGTAATAATTTGACAGTTTCAAAGGCTCATCATTCAGAAACTATTGACATCTCATATTTCGATATTAAAATTTTGACTCAATTTTTCATAAGGAATACGTATTGTACAATCTAAGATTACAAAAATATTAAACATAAATCTTACAAACATTTTGTAAATATATTATAAATATTGTCTGCTGTCTGGATTATAGACTTCTCTAAAAAACAATATTATAACAGTTTACAAAATTACGATTGTAATATGGTTACAAAAAAGTAATAGGTCAACGGTCATTCTAGAATTCTGGAAAAATATTTACATGCACAAACTTGCATACAAATTTAACCTCGAAAAGTAAATACTGTAATGTCACCTTGTTTTCGTTTAGTGAAGATGCAGCTCTTGATTTATTATCATATGTTTTATACGATTTCATTAAAATAGTTTAATACTTTATCTAAATTATGCAAATATGCCTTTGGGTGGGTTTTGATGAAACACCCCAAATTTTCGACACTCTACTAAAGAATTACCTTAAGTACATTAATTTTATTAATTTCTCTAAAATAATGCATCAATATTTTCTCAGATTATGCATAAAAGTAAATTTATTCATCTTATTCACGATTACTTCATCACTACTTTTTTTATAATTTAGAAGAGCGTACACCGTACACCTTTCCTGAGAAAATATTTTTCAAGCGGTTCAGGTAGAGGATATAAAGATTGACTCTTTTTAAATGACGTAATATCATCGATTTTCTTAACTTCTTTATCAATTGATAAATCGGCAGTTTTATTAGTTGTGTTATCAGGTGAATTGTTTTCCGTTGATGTTGCCGTAGAGATCACATGTATTGACAATTTACGTCGAATTTTACTATGTACATTTTCCTAAAAGATATATTTTATATGACAGATGTATTAATAATATATTAATTTTTCAATTATCGAAGTTTTATCGAAAATTATATCTTATATAAAAAAAAGTTATCGTACATTTTCTATTTCTTTTTTATGATAAAATATTTCCCTTTCAGAGTAACATTAAGTGATATATTTTATATATAAAAGAAAATTGATTACCTTAAAGAAATTAAGTAATTGCTGCAGTGATATCGTCTTTAAGTAAGCCTCTTCGATATTGACTCGATCGAAGTTATATCGTTGGGTTTTAATCTCAGACCAGTACATGGCACCCCATCCATTTAATCCTTTTAATTTTCCTAAACGTAATGTAGCTATAGTTTTCTTGTATTTTTCAAATTGCTCTTC